TGAGCCGTGGTTGCATCTGTTCGTGGTTGCATCTGTTCGGAGAAAAGGCTTGGAAGAGTCCCTTGAAAGCTTCCACATCTGCTGCTTTGTTCAGAGTCCTTGCTAGTGCTGAACGTAGGGCTTTTGTTCTTCCCCCCCAGACAGATGCTGTGCAATCGAACCCTCAAACAAAGAACCCCAGACTCCTGAGCTTAATAGGATCTTAAGTTTCACCAGAATCCTCCTCGGGTCTGCGATTTTCCTTGCCAGGGCAGGGTGAATGGCAGACTATTCCCTGTTGATTATATTGGAGGCTCCCCGGCATTAACCTGGCTCTCTTCCAGGAAGTGGATGATGTAACAGCCTTGCCCAGAAATGACAGCCGTCTCCTCCCTCCCTAGTCATGTACGCCGGCTGAGCCTGCTGATTATTGTCTTTCTGTTTCTCTGACGTTGAGGATGTCACTTTGTGTTCTTCCTTCCCCATGTCGTAAGTTCTTCTTTTTAGGCAAATCAGCTTTTGGTTTCCCTTCAGGGCCACCTTTGATGAAATCTTTTTTTTATTATTACTATTATTGTACCTGTATGTGGAGTACCCAGCTGTGCGTGCTTGCTTGAATGTAGGACGGCAGCCATACAGGTGAACAGAACAGTTGGAGTGGCTATCTTCTGGTATGAGATTTGTAAATCAGTAACGTATTAGGTTTCTTGTTAATGCTGAGTAAATATTTCAGATTTCTGTGTACCAGGGACTGAAATGAGTGGGGGAAACCCTCCAATTGCAGGCAGTAAATTTGTACAATTATAGCTGCTTTGCCACCTTCCCATCTCTTATGTGTTGGAGTACAGAAGTTCTGCATGTGGGTTCATCAGCACTATTCCTAGTTACGATCCTGGAATACAGCAATCTTTAACTCCTGATTCAAGATCCTCGAGCAGGTTGCGAACTCCATAGAGCTTCCCTGCTTTTTGGAAGGACTGACTTAGTTTGCACGTGTATAAGGCAGCAGGAGGCCAGTTAATCCTCAGATGTTCTGTATGCACTTCAGTCATGGAGGGTGTTTTCTCCAGCACAGACTTGTGAGGTTATTACTCATGGTCCTGTCACATGTCTACTCTTTCAATGTGTCCTGTGCTGCTGCCTGGAGGCTGAAAGCAGGTTCCAAGTCCAGTTGGGTTGAAGACTGCTGCCTTTAAGCACATGTCGAAGGGATGAAGTGGGATTTATTTTGGTCATCTTCAGATGATGTCAGACAGCTGTTCTCAACACACACGCACACACCCTGCAGTCTGTTTTTTGTGTCAGATTTCGCAAATCACGTGCATCTGTCTTATCTGAAGAAATGCCATGTGATTTGCAATCCACATCTGTAGTGACATGGTTGGTGTTCAGTTAGGAAAGTCAGATAACTCAGCAGTCAGCACCATAAAACAACCATCGAAGTACGGTTTTATTGGCGCAAGAGTGTGCGACTGAACAACAACAGAGTAGTCCTTGATGCAGGCCCCCCACACTTCCTGGGATCCGCTGGCCCACATGGGCACAGTTTTGGGAGACATTAAAGTCTGCAGTGGGAATGTGGTAACAGGAAAGTTAATATTCCTCAAGTGTAAATCTGTTTTCACTGCTTAGGTAAGGTTACAAGCCCAAGTCTAATAATATGTCAAAAATTAAGCATTTTTGATGCTATGGATTTGGTTCAAAAAGAATCTGTTCCTGGTTCCTCTTGAACATCGTTCATGAGCATTAATGGGTACATTGCATTTTTTTTTCTTTAGGTCGCCATGGCCACGGGGCAAGTGTTGTTCCAGCGTTTCTTTTACACAAAGTCATTTGTGAAACATTCCATGGAGGTATGAAATTCATTTTATGAAACTGAGCGTGAGCTGTTTTCTTATATTGTCTGATTCTACTTACTGGATTTTCTGCTTTGTACCTCAGCCATAAGATTATTTTACTGATAATTTCCATGAATCTTAGTTGAACATGAGCATACTTCTAAGCAAGCGCTGGTTGAAGTAATGCAAAAGCTGGCCCCCCCCCCCCCAGCAGGTTAATCCTCCATTTTGGTAGTGAACGCTAGAACATTTGTCCCTCCTCCAGCAACTCGGTCCTGGAATAAAGCTTACTATTTTGCCCGTGCTTCTCTTTCAGCATGTGTCGATGGCCTGTGTTCATTTGGCCTCAAAAATTGAAGAAGCCCCAAGACGTATACGGGATGTGATTAATGTATTTCACAGACTTCGACATCTACGTGAGAAAAAGTAAGTGTGCAACATGCAAGGGGGTTACCTTAGCAGTGGGTCTTCATGGCCAAACTATCCAAGGAATGGGAAACCTGGACAGGAACTACTCAGCGGGTGGCAGTAAAAACTCAAAGGCCACTTGGCCCCACGACTCCTCTTCTCTCCCTCCTCCATCTCGAGGGGGGGGAACCACTGATTCCCCCCCCCCTTTAACGAGGCTATCCGGCCCAATCCAGTTTGTGTCACACAAAGTGCCTAGCTGGAGTGGCCTGGTCCCTCAACCCCTCCACAAGAAAGGGTTATGCTGTAACGGAGAGGATACACTGGCCCCAGTCGCCAGGCTAGAAAAAGAAGAGAGCCACTCGGAAGTCCTCTGGCAGCAACATCCGTTATGGGGGAAGACCAGGGAGGAAGCCTTAAATGTAAAATTGTGAACATCGGTGTTATTCAGTCAGAGCCAGTGGGATGTATAAGGATACAAGTAAACGAAATAGAATGTTTTCTGTTTCTGTGACATGTATACCCATCAGTGGGGAGACTAGACTGGGGGATCAGAATGAATTCCAGCAGTTTTATTTTAGTTTTATTTATTATATTTGTAGCCCGCCTTTCTCACAGGGACTCAAGGCAGATTACGCATAGTCAGTTCAAATATGCCAGCAACCCAGCCAGGTTACTCATATCGCAGAGCACGCTCTTCTCTTGCCTGTCTGGGCTGCAGCTTCAGCCTCCCCTCTTTCTCCAAACAGGAAGCCCGTGCCTCTAATACTGGATCAAGAGTACGTTAACTTGAAGAACCAAATCATAAAGGCCGAGAGGAGAGTTCTGAAGGAGTTAGGGTTCTGTGTGCACGTCAAGCACCCTCATAAGGTTTGTATCTCTTCTCCCCCCCCCCCCCCCCCCATTTTCTTTGTCTGCACCACCACACGATAAGTCTTTGTTCCGACTGGATGGAAACGTGGCCCATGCTTCGTGTGTCATAGCTGAATTATAGCGGCATTCACTGTCTTTGTTTCTCACCTCAAGAAATTCTCACTAGCTGATTCCGTGTCTCCTTGGCTTGAAGACTTGTGCCTTGAGTGTTGGCTGGACTCAACTGTCCAAGTCCTTAAGCAGTTTATTCTTGTGCCAGCAGGTAATGACAGATGCACTGTTGCCATTAAAGCCTGCTTGGCTGTCTTGAGGTTTGAGCGAGACAGCGGTTTGGGGAAGCTGACCAATTCCATCTGTTTTTTCCCCTTTCTCTTAAGCTGTCAGTGCAGAAATGGCCAGCCTGACTGGCTGTGACTCTGAAGCACACTTGCCAGTGCCAAAGACTGTATCACTCTTGTGCGCCGCACCATATGTGTTCAGAGGCGCAAAGCAGCATATAGGATGACAAACAATTATATTGTGACCAGATACTATCCTGCTCAAAAGAAAAATACACTGGAGTGGTAATGTCAAACAAATACAATGAAAAAAAGGGTAAAAATAATGAAAATACAAGCGTGCAAAAGTGCCAGCATAAGATGAATGGATGTAAAATTGCTCAGGGTCCATTCATGCAGAAGGGAGAGTGCCCAATGTCCTGAATGAGTGCCAGCAGCAAAGCCAGTCTATTAAATCACACTGAGATAATCCTGATTCATGGGGAATTACGCTAGAGAAAGAGTGCTGACGTTTCTTCTTTCCTTACCAGTTGCTCCTGTATGTGTTGAGGTGGACGTGTAGGTGAAAGTCGTCTGAACTCTTAACAAGAATTTTTGGGAGCGTTAGGAGACATCTGCCTATAGATTAGAACCCATGCGTTTAGGAGACCAGGCCGGATGGAATACAGAGGAGGAAAGGTTGTGCTTTGCCTTCGAACGTTTTGTGTGTGTTTGCTTCTCTGTCTGCACTTGGCACTGTGTGGACACTCTGGAAGTCTCACAAGGATGCTTACCCAGACTAGAATAAGCTTGGTTGCCCCCAGCCATCTAAATGATAACCTCTGTCCACAACCCAGTCATCTGTATAACTCAATCACCCATATCTTCCAGATAATCGTTATGTACCTTCAGGTATTAGAATGTGAACGTAACCAACACCTGGTCCAGACGTCATGGTAAGTTGCTGTTTCTTCTTTCTGTTGAGACGAGCAGGGCTCTGGCACAGAGGTGTCATGTTATGGGGGCAGTTACCGTGTGGTGTTCCACCGCCACATTCATAGCACAGGCGTGGCTCCAGTGTTAACCTGGCATGCCGCGTCTGTCGCCTCAAGTCGACGGGCCTCTTTGTTAAAAGATTCAGGCACTGTGTTAAATGGTAAGAGAGCTTTCAGCCTTCACGCACGCAACCCTTTGCTTTTTCCTTCCTTGAATCCTGCCCGCTCGATCCCTTTTCGGCGGAGGTTGCTATGGGATTGTTATTTCTGTGTATGAACGTATGAGCAGCCGTGCTGAATCCAAGCAGTGGTTCGGCATTCAGTTTCCAAAACAGGCGCCCTGTGTGCGCTCACAAACAGGATCTGAGGGCAGCTGCCATCTCCTGCTTGTCTGTAGTGCACAAAGGTACACTGCCTTTGAACATGGAGTTTCTCCTGCACTATCTTGGTTTTGTGCTGCTGACAAGGAGTGGGGTGGGAAGGGCTCGTCCAGCACAATTATTTTATTTGAAAAATGGTTAGACGAAACAGTCCTTTTAATACACACAGTGATGCAAAATTTAATTGTCTTGCTTCTCGGAATGGGTTGGTTTTTGATAAGCAAAATGACAAAAGATAAACCTGTGAAACTGACGTGACGTAAAAGTAGTTCTAAAAGCCATTCGTATTTCTGCTGTCTGAACTGTGTGGTGCTGTCTTGAAGGAGAACCTCTTTTGACTCTTCTTTTCTGTACTCTTTTGATCAAAGGGTAGCCTCTGAGGGTAAGTGACTAAGACTTCTCCTCTGCTGCCCACTCGCTCTGGTGCAGGGATAACTGCCGTCTTCAGTCAAACCAAAGCAGGCTCCGCAGAGAGAAGGCTGGCTCTAGACAGGTGGTATACGTACACTAGTAGAGTTAAACACTGGCCGACTTCCGCTTGTGATTTCTGTTTCCCAACTTGATAAAAAAAAAGTTTTATTTGCACACTTTACAGATAAGTCTGAATCTTGAATGCATTTATTGTTGAGATGACTGATGCTGTGTTTTATGTCTTTAGAATGCAAAAAAAGTTCATTAAATTGGATTTTAAATTATTGGGTGGAAGGTGGGGGGGAGATTTGAGTTCCATAAATGCCGGTTATTGCACCTAACTTAAAATTTTGTCACTCGGATGAATGTTTTTGAAAATTCAGTGTTGCAATAAAGAGCTTTATATGTTAAGTGTTCTTATCCCCAAATCGCACAGCGCTAAATTTCTCACACTGTACTTTTAAAACTCAAGGGGACAAGATCTGATAAACCTGTTTCCACATGTCTGGTGTCCCCATGCCTTTCAGCAGACTGCTTTGGCAATGGGAGATTTCCAGAGTTAGCCTGATGCATTGTGGGGATCAGCTGTCTCGGGGGGAGGAGGAGTTCCTTTGCACTCAAGTAGCTCTTGGGATCCTGTGGGCAGCAATCTGCTGGAGAAAATAAGGAACTAGCAGAAAAGCCTTGGTTACGGAAGCATTTGTTGCAGAGAGGCTAGCAAGTATTTGAGCAACCTGAAAACATTCTAAAGAACTGTCTGTCTTGAATGCCTAGCCTGATGCCCTATGTCCCAGCACAGGTGGGCTACTCAGAAGTGGAATCTAAACTATTAGTCATTCTGTAATTCGTCATTCTGCCATTTTGGAAGTCAGAGGGCATCCACTTCCATCTATTTAACAGTCTTCTTAAATTTCTCTAGCAAGATTGGAAATAATATTTCAAACCCTTCAGCTTTGTTCAGTTAAGGAACAAGCAGTGGTGGATACCCCAAACCATCTGTTGTTTGACTTGCCTCCCTTGCAACACATCACATAGCAGCTGTTCCAGTTGTCTGTGCATGGCTTGACTTTAGGCAACTGAGACACATAGTTTGGGGGTCACCCGATGTTAATTCAGTCATTGCACATCTGATGCTCATAATGCATCTCCGAGGGTCATCTCCGGCTCATAGATGCTTCTGTTCTGGGTCATGCTTTAATTATTGTCTGATGTGCTGCTTGGACAGTAGATTTTTCCTAGAAAATAATCTCTGCCTTCTGGGATCTTGCACACACTTTAGCTGCAAAAAAAGAAAAAAAGAATCTGTATTTTCAGACGTCCTTTCAGGGGAGAAATGTGTAAACCGTACTGACTGTGAGTCATGTGCAATATTTTTGCAGTTGCCTCATTCTGTGAACACTGAGTTTAAGAAACGTTGTTACTTTGGGGCAATCTGGAAGCGATCCAGCGCCGAGCCAGTGGAAGAAAGCTGCGTGAACATGGGGGTCTTCAGCTGCAGCGCTACCATAACATCCGGATTGAACTTCTGGCTCTGAAGGGATTTATGTGGCCGTGTGTATCCTGGAAAACGGCCCTGTCGGAAAGCTGTAGAAGAGACCAACTGGATCCCAAAGAATCCTCCATTCGGATCTGCAGCTGCAGATTATCCACCTTGAGCCTGCATGCGGCTCTCTTTGATGGGATGAAGCCTCGAGTTTGATAAGATTTCTTCAAATATGCTACACATTGTGTCTGAATTTTTTTATATATATATAGACGTTGTTTTGCATGAGAACAGGCCAGTAGATCACAACAGGGAGAAAAGTAAAGTTAAAATTGGTTCTCTTTCACAAATTCCCGCCAGGCAGTTGATATATTCCCAAGAGGCACCCTTCCCTGGAAGGAAGCTTTCTTTTCTAACCTGTCAGATTTCACAGGGTTATCTAGACTTCAGATGTAGCCGTAGAACACCTAGATAACTAGCTACAATAGAGAAAAAGACAAACAAACCTAGTAGAGTCAGAGCAGGGTTCTGTCCGACTGCTACAACTCCTGCTGTCACTGCTTTTGTCATCTTAGGAACTATATGAATGACAGCCTACGGACGGACGTCTTTGTGAGGTTCCACCCTGAGAGCATTGCCTGTGCCTGCATCTACCTGGCGGCTAGGACCCTAGAGGTTGGTCTTGGTTTGACTTTTTGTTCTTTATATCGAAAATCTCCTCAATGAATAAATGGCTCCCGTACTGTCCAGCTCCTCCTGTTACGACCCTGTTCTGAAATCCTGCAGTTTGTGCCCCATGTGCAGCGATGAAGAGTGTGGTAACTAGAGACCAGGCATTTTCCAGCAGTGGCACCTGCTGCCCAGCCAGCTCTGCCATACTGTCCTTTAGGTGCCAAGCTGAAACCCTGTTTTTTACCCAGGATTTTAACTGAGGAGTTCTGTGTTTTAAGCTGTTCTTTTCCTGGGCTGCTTCTACTCTGAACTCTGTATTACAAATATAGTGTTAGGCAGAGGAATGTTTTAAGCCACTTTTATGGCCCAGCTATGTAGACAGTACAGATCACCCATCTTATTTAAGTAATTTGCTGATCTTCTTTTATTATTAAAACCCTTTTCATTCTATGTAAGCTCATTCTCCCCCCCCCCCCCAATCCACAGTCTATGAAAATGTCCTAAATAACTGGGAAACGTCTCTTGCAAAGAGAGAGGGAATTCCCAGGATGAGGAGAATATTTTTTCCTTCTTTTTGGGTGGTGTTAGAAAAGAGACGACTAAGGGAAACATGATAGATGTTTATAAAATTATGCATGGGGTAGACAGAGTTGACAAAGAGAATTTTTTCTCCCTCCTGAAACACTAGAACTCGAGGGGATCCAATGAAACTGCTGGGCGGTAGATTTTGGGTCTTCTGGGAAATTCCTTAATTCCCTCACCTCCTCTTTGGCTACAGTCAGTAAAAGGCTAATTCAGTTCAGCAACGGGTGCCTTAAGTATTAGAGGTAACGGTTGATGGATAACTGATAGCGATGGCTGTCCCCTTCTGCTTACAGATACCACTTCCAAGTCGCCCTCACTGGTTTCTACTCTTTGGAGCAACTGAAGAGGAGATTCAGGAGATCTGCATAAAAATCTTGCAGCTCTATACACGGAAAAAGGTGTGCTGCTTCTGAGGCCGCAGGATTTCCCGTTGCTTGGGATGGGGTGGCGAAGAGAAAGCGAGAGTGCTTTTGTGTTTCTGTGCACTGGGGCACCTGAGGTTCTCTTGCCCCCGTTTTGGTTTTATACATTAGTTCCTAATTGTGCCTTAAACTCGTGACCAGTGTTCCCTCTAAGCTGAGTTAGTGTGAGCTAGCTCACCGTTTTTTAGCCTCTGGTTCACAGGTTTTTGTCTTCGCTCAGGAAGGATGGCTCCAGAGCAAACCAAGTTATACAGTAGCCAAATTGCTCGCTCACAACTTTAATGCCGGTAGCTCACAAAGTAGAATTTTTGCTCACGAGACTCCACAGCTTAGAGGGAGCACTGCTCATGACTGTCCTATGCTGCATTCCAAAAGTTGACACGGTGCACTCATGCCATGGGTATAACATTGCCCAGCCTCCTGCCCTGTGAATTATATCTATCGAGGCTGCTGGAAAGAAGCCAACAAGATCGGCTAACCCTGCTGCCCAAAGTAGAATTTTTGCTCACGAGACTCCACAGCTTAGAGGGAGCACTGCTCATGACTGTCCTATGCTGCATTCTAAAAGTTGACATGGTGCACTCATACCATGGGTATAACATTGCCCAACCTCTTGCCCTGTTAATTATATCTACCGAGATCTGCCCAACTGCTCCCTGCCACCATAAGTTGCGTACGCTATGAAGTGGGTGAGTTATGAATGCAGTTCCCCTGATCTGCCTTTCTGTCCATCTCCCTCACCATAATTGGTGAAAAAAATCTCCATGGGGTATGGTAGTTACTTTGCAAGTATAGTCTGCTTTGAGCCTCTGTTGTGTCTCTTGCAAGCTGTGCTGAGTTTGGGTGCCAAGCCAGCTTGGTGTCGTGGTTAAGAGCAGCGGACTCTAATCTGGAGAACTGGGTTCGATTCCCTACTCTTCCATATGAAGCCGGCTGGCTGGCCTTGGGTCCGTCACAGTTCTCTCCGCCCCCCCCCCAAAAAAAACCCACCTAAGCTTGCCACAAAAAGAGCTAGAGTTTCAGACTGCCAGACATCTTCGGATCTCCTGGCTATACTACACCCACAGGCATGCAATAATAATTACCATTATTGTGCTGGGTTACTCCTTTTGAGAACACGCAGCTGTATTGTGGATATTCTTTCCTTCCCTTCTTTTGCCTGTAGTATTGTAAGCGTGCAGGTTAGAGCAGTTGCGTTCAGTGTTCCCTCTAATCTGAGTCAGTGTGAGCTGGCTCACAGTTTTTTAGCCTCCGGTTCACACATTTTTGTCTTCACTCAGGACGGATGGCTCCAGAGCAAACTATGCAGCAGACAAATTGCTCACTCACAACTTTAATGTCAGTAGCTCACAAAGTAGAATCTTTGCTCACAGGACTCCACAGCTTAGAGGGAGCATTGGTTGCGCTTGTCAGATGTTATATAAACATTCCCCCCTCCTTTTGTTTTCAGGTGGATTTGGCTGTCTTAGAAAGCAGAGTAGAGAAGAAGAAGCTGGCCATCGAGGAGGCCAAAGCCCAGGCAAAAGGCCTGTTACCTGAAGGAACGCCCAATTTGGATACTGTATCAGGATTTTCTCCTGCCCCCAAAACTGGTTGGTATCACTGTGAAACCCGTGCATGCGCCTTAGATGCATGACTGACAGAGGCCGGATCCGCACACACAGTGCAGTGAAAGCTGTGATTCAGTCTGAGAGTCAGGGTTTTGCCTTGCCCCCCTCATAACAGAAGAGCGTGAGCCCGGACTTAAAACGTGAGCTCGTTGATTCCTGACTGCTGTTCCATCACTTAGAACAGAACAAAAGATCAGAGTCCAATTTTCCTTTCTGTATGCGAGGGGTGGACCTCACTTTGGACCTCACTTAACAATAAATGTTGGCACAAATCCTCCTTGCTGTATTGCATCAGTCGAAGTCTGCTTGCTTATCCTTATGATACAGATCTTTTTTTAAAAAAAGAAGGCGAATGTCATATATGCTGACTGCCATGTACCTGAAATGTGGTGCAAGGTGTACAAGATAAATGTTAACTTGGTTGACGCCTTGTTTAAACTTGGCCTTCACTTATGATGCATTCACCATTGGTGTGCCGGTGCTTTGCCTTCCCAGCATGGCGTTTGAGTGGCTCTTTGCTTATTAATGCTCTTGACCTGCTGCTTAATAGGGTTTTTGTCCCGGACGGGGAAACTCAGCCTCCTGAACGCCCTGGTCCTAGAGACCGTTCAAACAGTGAAGCGTAAATGCAGCTTTCCTAGTTAACAACCGGCTGGATTCTCTTTCCTCCTCCTCCTCCTCCAGAATCTCCGAAATAAAATAAAGGCACCAAGCCTTCCCCGCTCGCCGTGCAGGCGATCAAAAACACCAAGAGGAAAATGGAAGGGATGAAAAGAGTCAAGTCAAACAGCCCGGTCAATGGGTAAGGCCTTGGGGGGGAGGGTTGAGCACTTCCGCAGAAATGCCAGCTTGTGGCGGGGGAGTAGGAGCTTTCAGAACGGCAGGATGGGAGCCTGTAGGCATTTATTTATTTAAAACATCTTAATGCCACCTTTCCACCCACTCAGGGTCCCCATGGCATACCTTTCCCATATGGCACCGATACACGCTCTCTGGCACAGTAAAGCTCTGGATTAGAAGCCTCCCGATTATCTCTTACTCTGGCATGCACCAGAGTGTTGCAATGGGCTTCCTTTCCAAAAGTGCCACCACTGCAGTCGTTTGTCCAGAGCCCAGATAAGAGTCTCGAGATCTGCTTCCGATAACATTCGTTCTGACTCTATAGCAGCTTTGCTGTGATGAAATCATTTGACATGGGTTGATCCCTACGCGTTGCACTTCTTTTGACTACCCGTTCTGCGCAGCACCCAGCCCTGCCTGTGCAGGGGCCATTTAGCCATAGAGGAGCTTTTTGGAGCCCCATTTGTTTCGCACGTCAGTCTCTCTCCTGTTGACGTTCCATGGGCCGGCTCCAAAGAGGCCCTTCAGCTCGCAGAAGAGCCCTTTTGCAGCTTGTACAGGAAAGACAGAACACGCACCTGTTCTAACAGACGGAAGCATCAGAACTGCTGTAGAGTTCTGCCTGTTCAGACTCCCAAGAAGTTCGGGCAACTGCTAATAGAACAGCTAGATTTGAGTCCCGCAGGACCTTAGAGACCAACAAGATTTTCAGGGATTTTCTCAAAAGTCAATGTTCTCTTTGTCAGAGCTAATCTGATGAAATCTCAAAAGTCAGTGTTCTCTTTGTCAGAGCTAATCTGATGAAAGGAGTATTTACTTTTGAAAGCCTGATACCCCCAAAATCTTGTTAGTCTCTAAAGTGCCGCTGGACTCGACTGCAGCTGTCTTACTGTACTCCTCTCTGCAAGTACTAGTAGAATATTTTGTCCTTCTCTTTGTTCTTTGGCTCCAACTTCGAAGGAAAATTGTGTAATTGGGGCCAAAAGGGGGGTCCACGGAGTTCAGCTGTCACTGGGGCATGTGTAGAGACAAGCATCATTGATTTTTGAATGTCTTCACCCCCCCCTTTTTGTGATTCAAAGGATCCTTTGCTAGTTGAGTTCTCATCTTTCCTGTGCTTTGAGGGCATCCTGGTATTTGGGGATTAGGGTCCATGATGCATATCAGCATTCCTGATTGCAACAGGCTAACAAAAGACATCTTCTCCCAGATGGTTCCCTGGTGGCTACTTTCTGGATACTGCAGTCCTTGGGGCACCAGCACGTTAAAGCTCGGTTTGGTGTCTGGCTGTCCACGCAAGTTATACCTGCCTGCTATAACCAGGGCAAAAAGAATCGTTCAGCAAGAGGAGCTGAAGGCAGCCACTTGCATAAACTCTGCAGATTATCCTGACTTGCATACTTCTTGTCTTGGACAAATGCAGGTCTGCTAAAGCCTGCTTGTAGTTGTTGAATCTTACTCAGCCAGGCTCTGTTTCAAAATCGCAGTAGGCCTTCACATTTTTCAATGTACCTCCATGGCCAGGAAGGTAGAAACTGGCTCTTCAAAAGAAAGAAAGAAATTTGAGAATCGGTAGGAAACGTGGTCCCCTCTCTAATCTTCTGCTCTCAAGGTTTATGCGCTACCTGGACCGCAGCATGTATCAGCCTTACAATGGTACTGAGGAGAATGGTACCCTCATTCAGCCAGTGAGATTATTCCCAGCATTGCCAGGGCTTGCAGGCGTGTGACTGAGAAGGCCCCAGTGCACAGTGCCGCTTTACACCTAATGCTCTTGCTTTATTGTGTTCCTTGCAGTGTTCAGAAAGGCAGAGAGAGCAGGAGTCGGAGCGGAAGCAGAGACCCGAGTTATTCCCGGTCTCCTTCAAGGTCACCGACTCCGAAACAAAGGTAGGTGCCCGGCTGCTGCGCGGGAAGGCTGCGGACGTAACAGAAAGCAGAGCTGAGAAGAGTGTGCCCACACACACACACACACACCCCGAAGAACTCCATCTTCATGCCCAAACAGGAAAGAGCGTCCTGCCTGCTGGCCCCTCTGCAAATGTTGTAGCATGACCAGGACTCTCACCTTTCAGATGTTTAGGCAACTAAAAAGGTCCAGGCTGTTTGCGTCTTCTGTTAGTCCAGATGTGAAAAGACAAGGAGAAATGTAATGTCTCCTTTCATTGGACTGGCTCAAACACACCTCACGCTTTCACACATGCTAAATAATGCGGTTTCAATCCAGTTCAGCGACTGTTTGCGAGTAAAATCCAGTTAAGTGCATTGACAGTGGATTGAAAGTGTATTATTTAGTGTGTGTGAAAGCATCCACCCTTTGTGATACAGTCGTGCCAGAGGTATATTATCCAGACTGCTGATGTACAAATACGCAGGGTGTCAGAGGCCAGAGCAGTAGTGATTTGGAGCGGGGCTTTACCTGAAGTGTGTGCTCACCTGTGGTTTTAGCATTGTGGGGGACTGTTCTCATAGCAAGTCTGGCTTCTTCCCTTTGTCTTCTGACCATGTCAATACCATGATGTGCAGCATTAGGAATAGAAAGCATCCAGTAGGTTACCAGAGGCCGCTTTGTCCGGAAACATAACACCTGTTTTTTCCTTCCTCCGACAGGAAGAGCGAGAGCTATTCCCCCTCCAGTGGCTCCAAATCTCACAGTCGCTCAAGAAGCCGCAGCGATTCCCCCCCGCGGCAGTTCAACCACAGCAGCTCCAGCTACAAAAGCTCCAAGGTGAGGAGCTACAAAAAGGCCCAGAGCTACAAGTACGCCTCTCCCAAGCAGCGGAAATCGCGCAGCAGGAGCTCCTCTCGGTCGCGGAGCCGCTCGCGGGAACGTTCAGACCACTCCGGGAAATACAAGAAGAAGAGCCACTACTATAGGGATCAGCGGCCCGAACGGCCCCACTCGTACGAGAGGCCGAGCCACCGCTATGACAGGGACCACCCCGGCCACAGCCGGCACCGGAGGTGAAGCGGTGCTGGTGAACGGCCAGAGGAAGCCCCTCTCTCTTCTTTCTGGATTTGTCAGGGAGCAAGTTGGCCTCTTGGTTGCAGTCGGAGGACTTGGAAACTCATCTCAGACTAGTTGTGTGCCAGTCCTGGCGCCAAGCCTCAAGGGATGATATTGAAATGGGCTTATTCTGGATAGTGTCTGTTTTGAGAATCCCTCTGTAGTTCTCTGGGGAGGTTGCCTTCCTTTCCTGGATCTTTCATCTGTTCTTACTCTCGGACTGGAGATGCTGCTATGCACTGTAGGAGTGGGGATCGTGTCCTGATACGGTTGGATTCTTTGGAGAGAGCTGCCTTCCCGCAGGCTGTTGACTTTGACGACTGACCTCCCTTTTCCCAAAGCATCTTGGAAGCACAGCCCTTGTGGCATTGCTTGGTGCTAACAGTAGTCTGTCTCTTTCTCTTTTGGGGTTTGTTTTGTTTTGTTCACAGCAGACACGATTGCGTTGTATAACACAAGGTGATATTTGATTTTCAGAAGCGATGCCTATATTAGGCAGGAATTTTTTTGTACATATACAACGTTGAACAGTAAGGACAGAGAAAGGCCTTAATATAACCCTTTAAACTTTAAATTGCAGATGCATTTTGGGGGGGGGAGCTTGCGACCTGCATATTGAATGTTGAGGACTTCAGATTCCTCAGCTGAAGACTTTGCTTTTTTCCCCCCCCTTTTGCATAAAGAACTCTGTGGAAATGTGAAAGAAGTATTTAGATTTTGTGCATTGGAAAGTGGTCTGTTTTATAAACTGGTGGAATGCCTGGTGCTGGCCACCAGCTCAGGACTTGGGCCATTTTCATATAATTATGTGGTTTAGATACTCTCTACTCAGGATCTTAAAAAAGAAAAAAAAAAAGACGCTGAAAAACTGATCGCTTGTCCATGCTTTGCTTGCTTAAGAGAAGGTGTTTATGTTAAAAAAAACAAATGTACACGGCACAGGAATATCCGTTTTAGTGGTATTACCTGAGCTATTCTCCTGTTCCCCGGTTTCATTAAAGTATTTGATTTTGTATTTAAACACGCTGCCTCCGTGTCCCACACTGGTCTAGACGATGTTCGCTAAAGGAATAGGGAACTGGACTTTTGAGTTAGGGCTGGGCAGCCTGGGTTCTTCTGGATATGAAGTTTCCCCTGATCCTGTGTGTGGTGCATCAGTGCCAAATGTGCCCTTGAGTCTGGCTGCCTGAACAATCTCTCTTTTTAAAGTAGCAGTGTTGACAGCCACGAGGACTAGAAGGCTGGTGGTGCAATGCTGGGTGAATTCTGATGGGAAAACTCAATAAGGTTTCCTGGGAATGTCACTGCCCTCTGTTCATCGCTCCTTCCTAAGACTGGCAAAACTAAGTGACGCCAACCAGTACAGAGTTTGTCTGCATTCATGCAGAACAAGCCGTGGATTCGGAATCCTGGCTTGTAGGCAAATGAACACCGTACCCCTGTCTGAGTTGAGTACAGGGGTCCCTGACATGGTGCCCATGTGCACCATGGCACCTGTGTACCCCTTTCCTGGTGCCCACCAAGTGTTTTTAGAAAGTGGGCGGGGCTACTTGGGGCCCTTGCCCAGCAGGACTTCTGATTGATCGTGCAGATTAAAATAACATGGTTTCAGCGGCAGCTGCGATAACAGTGTTGGTTTTTATTCCTTCTCTCCACTGTGTTTTTTCAGTGATCCCTCTTGTGCATTTGGGCTTCCTCTTTATGTGTGGCCCTACCTCTTGCATCAGTCATTTTGTGGTTGCACCCACTACCCTGTCTTGGAAATAGAAAGGTGCACAAAGACTCAGAGGTTGGGGATCCCCCTGGTTTAGCAGATAACAGGCCAGGCACAACCTGGATGGGAGATCTGTTCATACTCTGCCTTAAATTCAATAATTTAAAAAACATGAATGGATGTACGAATGGAGAGGAGAGACGGGCTGTTCCCAATGGCAGGGCTGGTTTCAGGTATGGCTGGGCCACCCTAAGGAAAAAATCCCTGCCCCATCAAAAGCCCACCACTCTTACGTTGTGCGTTTACAATCTCCCTCCCCCTGCCAATTTCCACGGTGGTTGGAGAGCCACAGATTAAGGAGAACCGCCTCCGTGGCTGCCCAGTCTTACTTACCAATGCTGGCGCCGACTATGATGGCGGGTTTTAAAAATGGAAGGTTTCAAAACGCAGGCCCACAAATCCTTCTAATTGATGGGTTCTTTGATGTGCTGCCTTTTCGCTTGAGTGTCTTAGTCAGCAGCCCACCATGAGGTCCCCTGTCGGCTCGCCCGTCCCACTCTGTGCCTGTTTCTGTAAGAAGGATCTTGGAGTCTCGGCCCCTTAAGATGAGAGCAAGCCTGTCGGCATGCTCGGGAAGAATAGCGTTAGTCATGTGTAAGAATTGTTCGCTTGCCAAAGAAAAGTCGGGTACATCCAAGGTTTAAAGAACATCCTGTCCTAGAAGACGGGGGGGGGGGGTGGAGTTGCTGTATCAACACAGCTGGTGGATTATGTCGACAGAAAAGTGGGAGATGTTACCAGGAGGGGAAAGGGGAAAAACGCCATGGCTGCAATGAATGACCTGGAGTGGGGAGGCAGAATTCTGCCTCGGATCCACTGGCTGTTTACTAAAAGGGCATTGCAGCAACTCTGAATTCCTGACCTATCAACCGTTTTTTAATGTCCAGGAAGTAGAGTCAAAATTGGGAGGTCAGACTTGACCCAACGGGTGACCTAACCAGGATGTTGCCTATGTAGCTTTATGTCTGGGACAGCTGGAAATCAGATCCTGGTTCAAATCTTACCTACCCGTCTAGTACTTGTTTTTTTCTCCCTTCAGGCAGGTGTGTTTTGATTGGGCCAAAGTCACCCAGCGAGGTTCACGGCCATGCAGGGATTTCCTTGTCTGCCACCCTTAACCCTTAATCCTAGGATAGCATCTAGTTAGTCTTTAAGATGCCAGCAGACTCCTAATTTGATAGTGAGGACCAGAAACATGTTCTCTAGTTCGCGGCTACCTAAATGCGTGCACATGAACAGTAAGGTACAATGTGCAGTTGGAAGACACATGATACAGCCAGCTTGCTGAAGGTAATCAGGTCTGTGTCTTGTTGCTGGATGGGAGACCCACCTGGATTTACACACCCAACTGGGGTGTATGTTTGCTGGCATTCCATCAGGAAACAAGGGTGGCATCAGTGTTCAGATCTCTGGGTGAAATCTGCATTTTCTTTCACCACTTCCAGCTCAGATCAGTCAACTGCGCCATGACCATTTGCAGGCCCACGTTTTTGGTTCTCACCAAACCCTTTTGATAAAACATTATTGAGCACTGGAGCACCTATATTCCCCTGATATGAGGCATGGGGTTTGATGATATTGTTTATTGTGCCATTGTTTTATTGCTTTTACTGTTTTATAGTCTTGTTACACATTAAGCCACCCTGAGCCCACAGGTAGGATAGGGTGGGGTATAAATTGAATAAATGAAATTAAAATAATCTCCATCGCTGGGCCCAGGAGCATTGGGCAAGGATGAAGGAAGTCATCAGCAGCCAATGAAGGAAGGAGTGAATGAGAATTGTTGATCCTGTCTGTACCCAGAGACTGAACAAAGTTAATAAGGCCAAAAGTAGTACATTGAATCTGGCCAAAGGGCTCTGCAGAGTTTGGGGATGTGAAGTTGGTACAGGTAAAGCGGCAACTTGGCCGACTTTAGGAGATACTCCAAAATACAGGGGTAAACGGGTTTTGTTAGCGGCATTATATAGTGAAAGTCGCTCAGAGCAAAGTAGATTGGCTCTTATAACTGAGAAAGCCTCAGATTCCCGAGTAAGGAATCTAAGGTGATATCCAGAGATATAATTTTGGATTCTATATAGGTAATCCAGTTTGAATCATTCATTCTAATAGAAGCTGATAGATGTAACTAGAGGGGTCCGAATTGAAAAGAAGACGAAGCCAATGCTTAATTGTAATAAGCCACGCTTTAGTTATCAACATGATCTGAACATTTTATTATTTTTCCGTCTGCCATTGGTTTTGACATTGAGGCCTGACGTTCTGTAGGCATGCACAAAAGATTTGGCATGGCAGGATTTAGTTTCCTTTTTAAAAAACAGCCATGTTGCAATTCCTTATGGCTGGGAAAATACACTTGAGACGGCTCTGGTCAAGCCGCTGCCCAGAAGATACAATGGTTCCTTCCATCAATACCAATGCCAGGGACTAGTCATGCTTTATTCTTTTTTTCTTCTGCTTGTTGGTTAACTGAGAGAACCACTCTAGTTAAAATTTGGGGGATTACAGAGTTGAGCCTCGGCAGAATCCTCTGTGATTCATCTTTGCAACAGAAAGACGGAGTGCGGTTTGTATTCCAAGCAGGGAGTTCGCGCTACAATCCCTGGTTTATCATATAATAGCAGAAATGCTTCTTGTGTGTGATCAGTTTTCGAACAAATGACTTCATCGGCTATCAGAAATGTGGGCAATGCAGTTCTCTTCAGGCTATAGCAAAGAGATTGGGAATAAGGGTTTTCATTCCTTCTGATGGCCTGCCAGGAAGAGAAAACGGAGCCAGAAGGAAACCTCGACAGTTAATTCTTGGATTCGGTCAGGTGCCTTCATCCTTCCAGAGATGAAATGGGCTGATGTAAATTCCCCCCCCCCACAGACCCCTTTGTCTAAGCAGTCTCCGGTAGAGATTTAGAACCTGGCACCCATCAGAAAGGACACAGGGTGTGAAAACATTTCAGAGCACATAAGCATCAAAAGGCCTCCCCCCCCCTTTTCCCCCATCCAAATACTAACCAAGGCTGACCCTGCTTAGCTTCTGAGATCTGGCAAGATTCGGCTAACCTTGGCTTGACACCCAGAGTGTGAACAAATTTAGCAGGCAGAGAAGGGCCTTTGGCTACCTGTCTTGGAGAGGCTGTGATTTGGGGTGTGAGAACTAGGGTGTTGTAAACATATCCCTAGTTGCCATGGTGGCTCAAAGGTTAAGATGCTGAGCTGCAGACCGGAAGGTCGGTAGCTTGGCAGTTCGAGATCCAAGTGCCATTTGATGGAATGAGCTCCCATCTCTGGCCCCAGCTCCTGCCAACCTAGTAGTTCGAAAGCAAGAAATTGCAAGTAGAGAAATAGGTACCGCTTTGGTGGGAAGGTAACAGCATTCTGTGCGCCTCAGCATTTAGTCATGCCAGCCACATGACCACGGAGAAGTCTTTGGACAGCGCTGGCTCTTCGGCTTGGAAACTGAGATGAGCACCGCCCCCTAGAGTTGGATTCGACTGGCTTTCGAGCAAGGGAAACCTTTACCTTTCCTAAACATATCCCTGCTTCCATCTGTGAAATGTTTGAGGGGACAGCGACTGTTAAGGGGGAAAGGTCGCCGCTTCCCCCAGGTCACCCCAGTACCCTTTCCTGCGTTGACTTGCTCTGGTTAGTTCCTTTTCCATCTGGCAGGGACTATTCCACTTTCCCTTCTTCTGTCTGAAAGCGCAGGGGGAGCTCAACAGATGAAAAGGGACCAGATCAGCCAAATAAGCCTGCTGTCCTTTGTGTCTAATCCGCTTAGACTCCTTTGAGGATGCTACAGGTAAGCCTGTTGGGCACCAAACCAGAGACGCAAAAGTGGGTGGCATCCCAGAACAGGCTTGGCACGTACTGCTTCTGAGCCCTGTGGCGTCCTCGCTTATTGGGGAGACAGTTTTACCTTTAAAACACTCTCTGTGTATATAAACTTGGTAGATTTCTGCTGCCACCAGGAATTAAAAATTCCAAATCTCTCTCTTTTGGTAGAATGACCTAGGGTCTGGGCACATCAGAGGACTATGTGGCCCTGAGGAAGGACTATTCTGATTTCTGGGGTAAGTTTAAACAAAAACAATTTATTTAATAAAGAACAAAATAGGTTTCTGGTTATTTTGAACTGTTGCTGATGAAAGGAACTTGTAAATATAACTGGCAAAGCTTGGTGTCACAGTCTCTCAGACTCCCAAAACTCCACTCTGACAGGCGTAGACACTCAGTCTAATCTCTCTCTCATC